GAAATTTAGTAAACTTTAACAGAACACAATAATAGTTTAAATAATTTTTCTGTAGTTTTTGTTTTTATTTTTTCTTAGTGGTTATTATTATCGGCAACAAAATTTAGTAAGTCAAAGCAAAAAAAAAAAAAAAAAAAAAAAAAAAAGGAAAACGGTTTTAGGCGTTAAAAAGATGACTTTCCCATATTTTTTGTTTTTTTACTTTTAAAGAGGAAAGAGAAAATATGTATCGTCATCTGTTTGTAAAATATATTTATATAATTATACATTAAAATTATACAAATATATTTTACAAACACATTGCAATTTATATACTTTGCTATCCTCTTATAAAAAAAAGTTAAGAAAAGGAAAATCATTTTTTTTATTGTAGACTTCAAACTTTTTTTTTTTTTTTGCTTCGCCTTATCTGATTTTGTTGCTGATTGTAACAACCACTCTAAAAAAACAAAAATAAAAACAGTACACAAATAATTTAAATTATTTATATATATTTTTTTGTTTTTTTCTGTTTAATCTTTTTTTATTTTGTTAGTTTTTTGTTTTTTTGTTTTTAAACTGTTTCAGTATTGATTATTATAAAACTTGCGAACGGCCGTGTTCAAGTTGTCTAAAATAAGATACTCACGTGTGGTCACACAAGACAAAAAACTGCACAGCCGCACTAACACATGGGATATGGTATTTATAAATGATTAAGTAATAACTGCTGAAATGGTTATTACATTTGGCTTCATCAAAATCTTTTCAAAGATCATGTGAAGGACTAAACTCACTTTTTATATCAATGTTTTCTGATAGTAATATTGCAAAAAAATTTTAACTAGGTCGAACAAAGTGTAGATATATTACAAAATTTGGCTTTGCACCGTACTTTCTTGATTTTTTATATAAAGAAATATTGTTATCACCTGTTTTTGTAAAATTGTTTGATGATTAAATCGATTTGATCATTAAATCGATTTATGCAAAAAGGTCAAATGGACATTATTGTACGATTCTGGAACCATGATTCAAGTCAGGTTTTTACAAGATATCTTGATTAAGAATTTTAAGGAGGTGCAAACTCAGAGCAATTATTGAAGTCTTTTAACCAAGTTGTATCTCGACTTAACATACAAAAAATGATTCAGATATCTTCAGATGGCCCTAAGTCAATTTAAAGCTTTTAGGACTTGTTAGAGAAAATCGCGAACTTAATGAGCATCCAGCCTTAATAGGTATTGGCACATGTGGCCTCCACACAATTCATGGAAGCCTAAGCACATCAATCAATAAATCTGAATGGAAGCTTGGTGAAAAATTGAAAGCAATGTGGAACTTTCTCAATAAATGTCCTTCAGGTAGAGAAATCTATGAAAATGTATCTGGTGTTGATAAAGGTTTACCCTTTACCTTATTATGGCCATCGCTGGTCTGAGAATCAAAACTGTTGTGAACAAGCTACGAGTATTTTTCCTGGATATTCAAAGTTTATTGAACACTTACAAAGTTTACCAAAATCAAAGCAACCTCATTAAAAGTGGTTTAATATTTTAAAAGATACAATAAAATATCCTTTGTTTATTGCTAAATTAAAACTTGTTGAATTTATAGCTGAAAAGTTGAATCTATTTCTGAAAGGTTTTCAAAGTGATGAACCAATGGTCCTATTTTTATTTGATGTTTAAAAAAGCATATTAGTTAACAATCTCAGTATGTTTTTATTGAATGATGTATTAGAAAAGTCTTATGCAATTAAGAAAATAATGAAGCTAAATCTATCAGATCCAATGTTATACAAAAAGAGAAGATACAATCGATATTGGTCTGCCTGCGAATATGGAAGTTCAAAAATACAAAAAATTATCAACATCAAAAGGAAGCACAATTTCAAAATTTTACAAAGATGTATGTATATTTTTATCTTCACTTGCAACACACATGTTAGAAAAATCTCCCATAAAATATCATATTGTCAGGTGTTCATCTTGTCTGGATCCTATTAAATTAGCAAATAGGGGAGAACTAGAGTGTAACAAATTAAAGTTTTTTAAACTTCTGGAGAATCTTTAACAGTATCAATAATAAGGGCAAATCTGTTATTCCTTCTCTCTTGTATGGTTCAGACTTTGTCACCTCACCTAAAGACTAAGCTGAATTGTTTGCTAAGAACTTTTCATCAATATCATCTCTCGATTCCACTAGTTGCGTTTTACCTGACATAGCTGTCAAACAGGTTGATCCCTTGCTTGACATTCTCATCACTTCAGCTTCTTTATCAAAAGTAATTTCCTGCTTAGACTCTTCAACAGCTTGTGGTCCTGACAACATTCCTGTTGTAGTCTTGCAGAGGTGTTCTCCGGAGCTTTCATCCATACTTTCAAAACTATTTAACAAGTGCTTATCAGAGTCTTGTTTTCCATCATGCTGGAAAGCAGCATCTGTTATCCCTATTTTCAAAAATTCTGGAGAGCGATCTGATTCATCTAACTACCGTCCCATTAGTCTTCTTCCTGTC